CTACAAAAGCTCTTACTTACCGACTGGAACTAGCCAGACCACGCAGATTTTTTATAAAATCTACTTTGGAATATCTTGGAATAGTTTAATTATTTTCGTAATTGTATACTTTTTGTAATTGTTTCAGGTATGCGTTTTGCAAAAATACAATCCCGTATATGCATTGTAATGCTACTATCAAAATTTCGAGTGGAACCCTCAAGAAACACTATGAACGAAATAAAATTCCACCCAAAGAGACTGGTTATGGCCCCTTGTGATGGTATAGTACTAAATGTAGTACGTAGAACCAAATGATCCTATTAAAAACCAATAAGTCTACGTAATAAAGACTGCACTGAGCATAATTATCCAGGGTCGCAATTACATATGTCAGCACTACGTAAATTTCTGATGGATTTTCACACTTTTTACATCAAATGTAATATTAATAAACTAATTTATCCTCACGACTGTTATTCAAGATGGGGTAGTCGATAACATTGACAACGTCGAGGTCAATTTTATGGTGAACAGAATATTGGGTGCGTGTATTTTGAATCCAACATAGCAGGGATCCAGCTATATTCATCAGGTATATTTGCTTTTTTTCGGACTGGTCTAATGGCCGCTGCTGCCCTTTACAGCTTCACCGGTCGATAATGTGCAGTCTAAATCCAAGTTTTATGTAACTTGAATACGGCTTTTAAATAAATTATGTAATTAATTTAGTAATGACGACCTCAATTAACATTAATATTTTTTGTATATTTACTCATATAGATCATATCCTAGATAAATACATACTACACCTTTATCCAAATATATATAACTCGAAGGTGACTAACTGACATAGTGATCTATCAACGCACAGCCCAAACCATTGGACGGATCGGTCTAAAATTTAGCATGCAGGTAGATGTTATGACTTAGACATGCGCTAAGAAAGGATTTTGATTAATTCTACCCCCAAGGGGATAAAATAGGGGATGAAAGTTTGTGTGAAACTTTTTCAAATTTAAACCGATCGGGCTGGGACTTTGCATGCATAAAGCTACTATGACGTAGGCATCTCCTAAGAAAGGATTTTGATAAATTCCACCCGTAAGGGGATAAAATAGGGAATGAAAGTTTGTATAAATCTTCTTGAATTTTTGACTGATTGAACTGAAATTAAAGATTGGAGCTACTATGATGAAGACGTTCGCTTAAATAGGATTTTGATAAATTCAACCCCCATGGAGATAAAATAAGGGATGATGTAGGTTGTAAATGTATTAGTTTGAACCTATCAGTACCTAATAGAACGAATAAATTAAGACGAACAAAATAATTTTTAGTTATTTAGAAATCCTTTTATTTTAGAAAAATAAAGTTAAATTCCACGCGGACAAAATCGCGGGAACTGCTAGTTCGATATAAAATGAGCAACGCAACGTCATACAACTAGTATTTCATACAATTATTACATCTAGTTGTTGTTGCCAAAACATAATGTGTGAAGTTTAAAAAGTTAAATAAGTTAACTGAAACCATTACGCAAGTCTGGCAATAAGCTCTCCCGCTTGACAGTCGGCGATAATATTTTAACTTGACGAGATAAACTCCAAGACAAAGTTGTGTATACACTGCGTTTACGTTCCCTTGTAAACGTCGGTATTCTCATGAGGGGCCCATAAATAATTTGTATTCTAAGTTATTGCTGTTACTTGCTATGTAAAACAGACGTTCCGTTTAGTGAAACGGATTAAATTAAATTAGATGATATCAATTATTAACGTAATATATTTAAACAGTATATATAACATAAGTTAGAAGTTTAATTGCTATTTATATGAGCAATATCGGTATTCTAGTAGTTTAAGATACTGTCATTGCCGAAGGTAGTGAGTTTTTGTATTCTAAGTTATTGCTGTTACTATGCTATGTTAAATAGACGTTTCGTTTAGTAAAACGGATTAAATTAAATTAGATGATATCAATTATTAACGTAATATATTTAAATCAGTATATATAACATAAGTTAGAAGTTTAATTGCTATTTATATAGCCAATATAGGTAGGTATTCTAGTGGTTTAAGATACAAAAATGTCGTTGCCGAAGGTAGTGAGTTTTTTTATTTAAAATTTTTTCTCTACTATGTAATTATTGTATTCATGAATATGATTCTTTGTATGACGGTCTCGATGATATAATTTGTGTGTGTGTGTGTGTATCACATATATATATGATAGTCAATGTCAAAATCGATTATTTTCATATCATAATACAAACATTTGTATTCAAATTAATGACTGTTTGTTTAGATTTGGGTGTTTTCTATGCATAATATGTATGTAATTAAAAAAAATATTTATATCAGTTGTCTAGTACCCATAATACAAACTTAGTTAGGACTAGATGTGTGAATGAATGAGCTTAACGAAGGTATTTATTGGTGAAAATCAAGTATTTCAGTTACATGTAATTTTAAAACAACATTTATATGAAACGTTTATATGAAATCAAATCAAAAATTACTCATTCTTGTAATTGAATTAGGACTTTTTAACACGCTTATGAATGTCAATGTTTTTTTATATTAATTTTTTTTCTCTACCAAAAAAATACTTATTACTTGAAAAGTGCCTTATCTGATTGACAAAATTTCATCGAGTTTGATTACTTATTGTATTAAATAATAATATAAAATATATTTGTGTGTGTGTGTGTGTGCACACATATATATATATAAATTGTTAAATGTAAATTTAATTGACATGCAAAGCCACGACTAATAGCTTAGGTAGCTGATAAATATAGAAATATACTGCAATAGGCACAAATACATATATATATATATATAAAATTATATACTCTTAAAATTTGACGCGGTTATTATTCATCCGTAAAGTTAAGAAAAATCACGTGATATTACAAGGTTTTTATAGTTCCCTATCCCTACAGTACCTAAAATAAATAAAATATAGTAAGATCCCTTGGTCTTCCTACATTTTACATATATTGAAAATTTTGGTTGTTCGGTAAGTAATTTCGTTTTTTCCTAACTTAGGATTCAATTGTATTGTAAAATGCTGTTCAAGCCAGAAAGAAATTGATGTGTGTGGAGAAGTTGTGTGAACCGTACGCCAGTGCCAGAACTGGTTCGCTAAATTTAACAGCATTTTGCCCTTTCTGTAGTAAAACAGAAAGGGTATATTTAAAAGGGCACCAACCAATAACTACTGCATAGAGTACTCTCAAAGCATATAGAAATTATACGGCTTAAGTGTGAAGTTGAGTACAAAAAATACAATTAAATCCTAAGTTAGGAAAAAACGAAATTACTTTCCGAACAACCAAATAGTTTAATTATTTTTGTAACAGAATAGATAATGAAAGATTAAAGTAATGAACGCTCTTTACTGAGAGACAAAGTTGAGAGTTGGCGCCGAACAAGCATCACCGGAACTCCAACACTTCCCTATCTACAGTGGTGTAGTTTTGATATACTGTGCCGCTTTTTAGTTGTTCCGTTTCTGTTGTACTCGCACTAAATTTATCTTCAATTGTAATACTTCTATTATATAGAGTCTTAAATTTTTTATCTGTAAGTATAATGCTGGCCATGATTAAATTAATTGTTTGTACATTATTATAGAAAACGTCACTTTGAATATCTTTAATATCTCAGGAGTTTTTCTTATCTCAACGTGTAAACTTTATCATGTTAATACATTATATACAGCAAAGAACCTAAAATTAGAAACCTTAAAATATAATATAATAACTAAAATAGATTATTAAAAGGAGTCCCTTCCGGCAAGGTCCCGAAGATACTGACAGCGTTCCCCTTTGTTTTAATATATTATTATTTTAATATTTAATCTACTGCTGATTACTCTTATTTCCAATAGTAATGCTTGGACAATTTTTATGTGACAATATTAATAATAATAATAATCCTAAATGCTCAACATAATAAAACTGAAAATAACCACGCGAATAAAATACCGAGAGACTTGACATGCCCCGTCCTCGGTACTATCAGCAGCCGCTGTGAAAAGGAGAGTATAATAATCTCAGGACAATTGACACAGCGCCATCTAGACTCAAGTTAAGCTAGCTAAAGCTTGTGTTACGGATACTAGATAACTACTAAAAATAGGTAGTTTTTTTTCGTAAATACATACATAGAAAACATCCAAACCAATACGAATAATCATACTCATGAATACAAATGTTTGTGCCATGGGAGGAATCGAACCAGTGACCATCGGAAGTAAGGCATGCTAAACCGCTGGACCACCGAGACCGAAAACATTTGATTTAACGCTACAATTTTATTTGGTAAGTAGAGTATTCGACGATTTTTTTAATAGTTGTGTAATTATTAATAGCAAATACTTGGTATTTATTTTAAATTTGATGCCACTTGAGAGAAATATAAGATTTTGGGTGTGTCTCTTATGCATTAGTCAGTTAAATTTAAAGATAGTTTACATTTTATTAAAGATAAACCTAGTTATCACAAAAAACACTTGAAAAAATTAACCGGTCTAAAAAAATTTAATTATTACATGTGTTATGTAAATAATAAATGAAAATTTTTAGAGCAGTAATCTTTTACAGCAAATATTTGATATTTATTTTAAATTTAATGGCACTTGAGATAAATATAAGATTTTGGGTAGATCTCTTATGCCTCAGTCAGTCAGATTTGAAAATAGTTTAAATTTTATTGAAAATAAACCTAGTTATCACAAAATACACTTGAAAAAATTACCCGCTCTAAAAAAAAAATTCAATTATTACATGTCTTATGTAAATAATAATTGAAAATTTAGTAGAGCAGTAAAAAATTTGTTTATAAAAGTTTCTAAAATTTTTTTTTATTTATCTTATCTAAAATTGGTCAAATCTGAAATAAAAAAAACGTACATTAATTAATATTCCAAGGAACATCCTCTTTTATAAATTAAGTCATTTAAATTATATTTAATACAATTATTCTATAATATCATAGTTGAAGCGTACTTACACATAACGTCGAAGGTGATCGAGTCCTCCAGAGTATATGCTGGGAACCAAGGATTAGAGACCCTGCAGACCAGCTGACGCCCACTATCTTCTCTTCTCACATGCCAAGTTAGAGTACTCTTGGTTATTTCTCCGTCTACATCCACCTAGCAAAAACCATCGTATTATAATATTAAAATGACTTATGTGTTTTTATTGCATACAGTTGAGTTTCTTGCCAGTTCTTCTCAATTGAATCGGTATACTGAACTGGATGGTAGAGAAAAATGAATGAATAAATGAATGAAAAATCTTTATTGTTCCTCTCACAGAAAGAAATTAACAATTTCATAAATTAATATCTACACTAAATATAAAAAAAAACAACAATTACAATATAGAGGTATCAATGGGCGGCCTAATCGCTAAATAGCGATTTCTTTCAGGTAGCCTTTAAAAAATAATAGGTTCATAAGCGACTAATATGTCCTATACGATCATATTTAACAGTGTTTATATTAAGTTTATTTGTGTAAAGATGATATATTTCACAAATAAGATAATAAATATTAAATAGTGTAATTGCCCTTTTTAAGACTTTAATTTATATATTTTTTTTTTATAACATAGGGGACAAACGAGTATGCGGTAAGTGATTACCGCCGCCCATGAGCACCCGCAACACCAGGGGAATTGCAAGTACGTTGTCGGCCTTTTAAAAAGGAATAAGCTCTTTTCTTGAAGGTTTCAATATCGTATCGGTTCGGAAATACCATTGCTGGAAGGTGATTCCACAATGTGGTTGTGCGAGGCAAAAAGTTTCTAGAAAACCGCACTGTGGAAGACCGCCATTCATCCAGATGATCAGGATGGTATTTTAGTTTCTGGCGGGTGGTACGGTGGTGAAACTCAGCAGCTGGTATTAATCCGAACAATTCCTCAGAACACTCCCCGTGATATATATATATTGTATTATATTTTCACATTATGTACTTAAAACATATATTATATTATATATAAAATGTCACCTCTGTTAAAGTGGAATCTACTCTTTGTGAGTTGATGAACCAGTCAATATTTGGGGCTGGTTTTGAACCTTGAGTTGTGCACGTGAAGGATCTATCTTGGCCAGCTCGCGTTGCGCCTTTGCCGCTTACGCGAATAAACTGTGGTTTTACTGCAAAATAGAAAGAAGTAATAAATAACCTATTCATAATTATATAACTAATAAAAGACTACGATTAAAAAATAATAATAATATTGAAATTTAAAAGATGGCGAAATCCCTTTGTCAATTAGAAAAGTTAGTTGATTTTTTCAAACAGAACAGCAAGTTTTCGTAAATTATGTCTAAAAACTATGTTTATTGCTTTAAAAAACAATCGCATCACAATTGGTCTCGATTTTTTTTTAGGCATATTACATATGAAACTTTTATTAAAATCCGTAAACAGTGCGTTGAGTTTAATTATTGACAAAAGTACTAAAAAAACTATTAACGGTATTGTAAATAAGACGGAATATAAAATGCATTCGATAAATATTTATTGTATAATAAATAATTATAAGAATCAGTGTAAGTAATTAACTAATTATTAGTCTTATTATATATTATTATCCATACAACTACACAAAACTGAAATGTCTGTTATAATGTTTGTAATTTAATTACATCGAAAAATATTTTTAAACATTTCTATCCGTCTACCTCTGTGTTTCTTCTTAATAATCTCTGAAACGGCAGGATCGAATTAACGGGATTTTAACTTGCAAATAGCTACTATTACAAGTTTTGTTTTTGAAATTATATCTTATTAATATTATAAACGCGAAATTTTGTGAATATGGACGGATGTTTGTTACTCTTTCACGCAAAAACTACTGAACGGATTTTGATGAAATTTTCAGTAATATAGAAACAGAATAGCATACCATCAATTTCACGCGGGTGAAACGCGGGCAAAGCTAGTATTTACATATCATAAAAAAAAATCCACGGAATTTTTTTTAAGGAAGTTAGTTAATTTAAAAGGATAGTTGTAATAGTACTTACGATATAATTTAAGTGTAACATTCCTAAACTGTGGCTGCAGTAACGGTGGCTTCACTTTACACTGCAGTTTAGTATGGGACATCTCCCTGGACAGCCTCTGGAGATGAAGCTGACAAACCGAGCCTTCCTTTGTTATGGCTAACAACTCCTCGCCTCTGTACCAAGAAACATCTGGCGGTGGTTTTCCTACATGAAAAAAATTTGATGATGAATAGACTTAATGTCATATTAGTGAACATTGGTTTACTTGTGGGGACTGTTCGGGTTACGAACCCTGATTAGACTATTTCCTTTAAGATTATGTTGAATAAGATCAAGATTGGCTGAAACTAATCGAACTCCTTTTGATTTTGCTGAAGGAGAAAGAGAATTAGTTTCAGGGTTTAATATTGAGTATAGAAGAGGGGGATTTGCTTTAATTTTTTTAGCTGAATATTCAAGACAATAATAGCATATGCTGGTGGTCACACTATTCTCCCAAATTTGAATTTAAAAATGAATCTGTATTATTGTAAACATGTACAACATTTATTTGAAAAGAATATATATATAAATATAAATATATAACTATGCACACAATATATAAAATAATCGACTGCTATGAAAATATATGCTGTTACGACGATCCAGCAATTAACCTCTGTTGGGTTGACTAAAGGGTGTCGGAAAATTATTGACTAACTGCGCGCACTGTTGACGCGCTCGTAATCCTACTGACTAACATTTGTGCATCTATGGTGTCGTTTCCCTTCTGCAGATTGTTGTACGATTAATATTTTTTTATTGTTCTCATTTACTGAGAATAAACTACAACTGGCATATAAATAATAATAATAATAATCTCAGGACAATTCACACAGCGCCATCTAAACCTAAGTTAAGCTAGCTAAAGCTTGTGTTATGGGTACTAGATAACTGATACATATACACAGAATTTTTTTTTGTAAATACATACATATTATACATAGAAAACACCCAGACTGATACAAACAATCATACTCATTTGCCTATTCTATAATCATAACGCTGACCTGTTATTAACTATTCTATACATTTATTATTACAAGCAAACATGAGTTTAATTTGAAAGGTTTGAGACTTCATAACAAACCTCCAACCGCCTGACAGGAGATCAGCAGATCCTGCCCCTCTCGGAATGGTCCAGCCATCGAACCAAGTATTTCTCGCCCCTCGGAGTCATATATCCGAGCCGGTTCTGGTGGTACTGCGAAAGATTAAGATTTTGTAACTTTTGAAATCAATAACAATCAAGAAATAAAAATATAGTGTACTAGCTGACCCTCTGCATCACACTTATCATCATATATCGCCCAATTTACATAATATCTTTTTAAATTATAGCCTATATGTTATTCTAATGTATAAGCTATATTACTGTAAAGTTTCGTCAAAATCCTGTCAGTAGTTTTTGCGTGAAAAGGTAACAAACATACATCCATACTCACAAATTTTTGCGTTTATAATATATTTAGCTGTGCCTCGTGACTTCACTCGCGTTAAATTACATATATAAATTTCATGGTACGTGCTTATAGCTTCATTCGATTACGGGTGAACAAAGTTATGTATTTTGTTTACTTTCTTGAATTTATTTGGTAAATTACAAATTTTAATGAGTGAACTTATAAAGTACCACGCCATGCTTTCAATTGTAAAGTCGTTATGTAGAGAGCTTCAAAAAGGATAGGTTTACGCTCCAATCGAAACGCTCCTTCGGTGTTGCGTTTTGTTACAGCTTGTTGTGGCCGTCAAAATGTGTGGTGTCGGTGATCTTGTGGTTTAGTACACTGCTTTACTTCCAACGGTTGCGGGTTCAATTCCTCGCACGGTACAAATATTTGTATTCATGACTACGATTCTTTGTTTGTCTTTGTTCGGTCTGGGTGTTTTCTATGTATATTATGTATGTATTTAAAAAAAAGAAATCTAAGTATTTATGTCAGTTGTCTAGTACCCATAACATAAGTTCTATTTACCGGAATAGATGGCGTTGCGTTAATTGTCCAAGTTTATTTATTTATGTATGAATGGTGTCTAAATATAATAACATAAAAAAATTGGATAAGATTATTAAACTAGTTGACTCCTAGATATCTACAACTATAATATACAATCCTCGATAGTAACCAACATATATTTTACCGATAGATTTGCGCCGGTCGTAAACCTTATCTTAAGACGTAAAAATGATCAAACCTCATGTTTATATAGACAGCACACACAGCTATATTTTAAAAGAAATTTCGCCTTCAGAATTTTAAACGATCGAGTTTTTTTTGTATTGGATGACAATGGAACTGTGCATCTGTTTGCGCTAACGGACTACGCTGGCACCAATAGAGCTGACTTCAGGTTCAACTGAGCTGCAGCTACCCCATCATTTGTAATTACTTACGATGATTTCCAGAACTAAAGTCCGGACATCTTATATTTTTTTAATGTAATTGGATATTGTTAGCAATGAGACCACAGTATCCATTACCAAAAATCCCTTCCTACAAACGATGGAGTATTATTATATTGTGATAAGTTTATCTAAATATATATAACTCAAAGGTGACTGACATACTGATCTATCAACGCACAGCCGAAACCCTAGTGGTTCCGGATCGGGCTGAAATTTGCCATGCAGGTAGATATTATGACGTAGGCATCCGCTAAGAAAGGATTTTGATTAATTCTATCCCCAAGAGGCTAAAATAGGGGATGAAAGTTTTTATGAAACTTTGTCAAATTTAAACCGATCGGGCTGAGACTTTGCATGCATAAAGCTACTATGACGTAGGCTAAGAAGCCTAAGAAGGGATTTTGATAAATTCCACCCAAAAGGGGATAAATTAACTCAAGCGAAGCCGCGGGCAAAAGCTAGTTGAAAATAAATCTGCACCTTCATTTATGGAACATCGCAAACTTTCTGCTATATCGATAACATTCTATGTTGCTTGTGTTGTTTAATTACCGGGGGGAAAATAGAGTATATAAATTAGAACTGCTATACGTAGTTTAAACTAGAAATTATATACTAAGCAATTTTAATTTCCTTTTAAAATCATCTATAAGTAAAAACTCCATTCTTCACGTGGTATATAGCTACGTTCTCTTCTCCAGTGACAACAATAACCAAACAAATCCGAGAGACGGAGGTAGAATCGCTCGGTTGAAATTTGGGCATGTTGAGTATTGTGTTCACTATGATCGATCCTCTCCGGTCGATCGCCCATCCAATTCAAGCAGTATTGAAATTATGACGGCCCGAGACGAACTTGAAATCGGTGTCCTCAGACTAAAGTCGTATCCGTCAGGCAGGAGTTGGCTTCAGTCGCTCCATCTTTCCGTGGGATTGGAATGCTATTTACACTCGATTCTATTGGTGGAGCTGTAAAGGCCAGCTGTGGCCAAGAGCATTTAAGTAGTTCGAAAAAAAAATGTTCAAGACGAAATGTCTATTGATGAAGCCAACGCAACATCATCTGGAATAATAGTCGTGAAGATAAAAAAAAAACATTTTAATTGGAGTTCTATGAACTCCAATTAAAATGTTAGGGGATTTAAGATTGTTATGATTCCCTTTACGTAGAGTTGCCAACCGTCCTGTTTTTCCAGGACATGTCCGAGTTTTTGAAGTGTCCTGGCAAGTCCTGAATAGTTATTTGGAAGCGTCCTGGGTTTTTAAAATATGCGCGCCTCTTAATTACTGATTTTCAACAGTATAATTTTACCAAATACTTTTTATAAAAACATGATTATATTAATTACTTGAATCTTACTACATATTAATATAACTATTGCAACACTACTACTGCGTTCTGTTTTTAAACTGGCCAGTCCTAGTTTATTGAACTTTTATTGATGGTTTTTAAATTTGGGCTTGGCAACCCTACCTTTACGTCTTCTGTAAAAGGTATAAAATAAATTAAATTATTTCCACAAAAAGAGACTTCTGAATAATGTTAGGCGTTTTAAATCTCACTAACTGTGTTATGAGATAATGATCGTTGAAATGTCTGGAGAAATTGTTAGGAAACTTAGTTTAAAACTTTGCGGATTAAACCAGCTTTCAAACAAAAAGAGCAACGAGATTAAAAGCAAAACAAATAAAGACAAACATTTTACATTTGTGATTATATGTATACTATAACTGGCTGACACGGAAAAGATTGTGTTGGCGTATAAATAAATTATTGTCGCTATTAATAACAGGGGTTGAAGGTAGAAAGGTGAAAATTTAGGGTTGTATATATTTTTAATAAAGATTCATAAAGAAAAATAAACTAAAAAATGTTGTCCAAAAAATAAACAGTAATTAGAGGATTATCAATTAGGGGCATGAAAAATAGTTTTCGTCCCATTCTCAGACGTACTGAATACACAAAATTTCATAAGTAGTGGACAAGCCGTTTCGGAAGAGTTATGTCACAAACAGTATGACATGAGAATTTTATATATTAGAAAATAATATGGTATTGGTTAAGTCGTTTAAACTTAAAAATACTATGCACTTCCAACAATGTAATCATTGACAATGTTGATAACTGTGAATGTTTGGTTATGATGTATTGTATGTATGATGTATGTATGTATTGTATGATTATGGGTATGTATGGACAGATGGATGGATGGATGTTTGTTACTCTTTCACGCAAAAAGTACTGAACGGATTTTAATGAATATTTACTGTGTATAGCTTATACATCAGAATAACACATAGGCAGACACATTTCAAGCGGCTAAACCACGGACACAGAAACAAAATAATCATCAATCTGTTTCACAAAGGCATACAAATATATTATATAATACTAGCTTTTGCCCGCGACTTCGGTCGCATTAATTTATCCCCTTAGCGGTAGAATTAATCAAAATCCTTTCTTAGCAGATACCTACGTCATAATATCTACCTGCATGCTAAATTTCAGCCCGATCCCTTCAGTGGTTTGGGCTGTGCGTTGATATATCACTATGTCAGTCACCTTTGAGTTATATAATATATAGATTTATGTATATGTGGGTATATATATCGTTGATTAATGTTTATTTTATTTATTATTGTAATGATATATTTAGAACATTATTTAATTTGTTGAATTTATAATGTTTATTTTCAAATTTTGGACATTTTAACATATATTGTTAGCTACACTAGTGTTACCCACTTTTAGAGATAAGTCCACCTTTGCTTACTTTGTGTATAATTAAGTTTACTACTGTATTTCAAAGTGCAATAAAGAATATATATAAATGAGAGTGAGTGAGATAGAGATACGGAAACGACTTTGCTCAAAGTCTACCTCTAGTCTACTTGCCTCTTTGTGTAGATATAATGTATTGTAATATAAAATTTCCACTTATGAATATATGTGGGATGCACAGCGAATGAAGAAACTTTATTTAATAAAAATGTTTTTTTTCGAAAAAACTCACGAAACATGTGTTAGCTGTATAAAGTTTAATCACACATGCCAAAAGTTTGTTATAGTAGTTTGCGCTGAATTTAAAAACTTCATAACGCAACTTATAATGATATTAGAGAATTTCTTTGTTACGTCAGTTACAACTGTCAAAACTTGCGGTTACATTTCTATGTTCATTTTTCTATTCTACTTCTGCATCTATCCAGGTTGTATGTTAGTATTGTTGCAATAAGACGTTTTGTTAAGCACATTTATGTAGCTTTTTTTTCTTTAATGCACAATAAAAAGTTTATATATCTTGTAATTATATCTATAAATATAATAACTATAGAACTAAAACCTCTTTGTATATTAAAGAAACTAATTATAAATTTAATTTCATTATAAAATAAATATATTTTCTAATTTTTGTCGATGTTATGATGGGACAGGTTCCGAAATACAGCAGCGCCAATCTGAATCAAATATTAAAAACGCGAAAGTTCGTGAGTGTGGATGGATGTTTGTTACTCTTTCACGCAAATTCTACTGAACGGATTTTGATGAAACTTTACAGTAATATAGTTTATACATCAGAATAACGTATAGGCTATAAATTTTTTTTGGCGAAACCGCGCGCACTGGTATGTAATATATGTATATTTAAAACTAAAAGAATATCTCCGATTATATTGTATAACGCCTGTCGTTATCAATAGATAACACTACAACTTAAACCCTACTTCAAGGAGTAATCTTTCAAGTTATCTTATAATAATAATGTTTTGCCACATTTGCCACTTTGTTTGCAAAGTCAATAATTAATAACAAACTGGATATTATTAGCAATTAACATCCATTTTTTTGGATAAAAGTTTTAAAGTTCAGTTGTTTAATCACATCAACTGCTTCTTCCTTATCCCATTTATTTTGGGTCGGCGTAATATGTTTTTCGCTTCTATTCATCCCTGTTCGCAGTCATCGCGTTATTTACTTCCTTTCTTACCATATCATCTTTCATACAGTCCATCCATCTCTTTTTCGGCTTTCCTCTGCCCTTATAACCAACCACATTCATATGTAACACCTTTCTTAAAATATTATCCTCGTTCCTACGCATTACATGTCCATACCATGATAGACGATTACTCTTCAACCTCTCTGACACCGGTGCCACTTTCATACTTCCTCTAATGTATTAATTCTTTATCTTATCCATTCTTGTCACACCACACATCCACCTCAACATTCTCATTTCAGTTGCATGCAGTCGTCTTTCATCCGTCGCCTTTACGGGGCAGCACACTGATCCATACAAGTCGGATCATGGTCTTGTAAATAAGTTGTTTAATCACAATAGACTAGTTAAACAAACCAATAGATATACTTTAACATTTAATGTAGTGTTAGTATCTATATGAATGTACTCACCTATCACAGTTAAATTAACCCGGTAGTTCCTTGTAGGCGAGTCGACGTAGTCGATCCTACATCTGTATAGTCCATCATCCTGTCTCGCCACTTTGTCAATGGCAAGGTGAGCTGATGATGGATCGGACTCGTTGAGCACAAAGTGTGTGCGAGCTCCAAACTCGCCTGCGACTGCCCAATGGACTGGAGGTCCATTTCTGAAGTCCACACTGAAAAAAAACAAAAATTACTTGAGTTGCCTGTGGAGTGCCGAGGTCAGAAAGAATTGTCTTAAATTTTTTCACGTTTGGTTATATTTGCATACATTATACAAACGAGATATTTCCTAAAGTATTTTCTATTAGCGATTGTGACGGTTTACGTAGCAAAAACCTAAAAAAGCGGGTAGACAGATATGTCTGTAATTGTTTACATCTACCACCGTCTTCAGTCGACTCGTGACCAGAACTTTGAAACAGTTTGAAACAGTGTTGATTTTTTTTTAATATCTTTCAAGCTCGGAAGACTGGCTAGAAACTCTGCTTTTATTCTTTTCAAAAGAACTTGTCATGATTACAAATATACAGATAAATTTTTAAATTAAATTAGGAAGAATATAGTGACCACCAGTTTATGCTATTGCATTTTATTAGAAAGGAAGAAGTTTAATTAGTGGCTGCAACCCGAATAGATCAGTCCCCACAAGCAGCTTCCATGCACGAGTATGACGGATGAACGAGTGCTGCTTGTTGCTTGCAGGAATTGGTCTGTTTTGTCCTATTTTATAGATGAATAAAGTATTTAATCGCATTTCAATTGTAGTTGGTTACAGACAACGATTATAAGCTTTAGAAAGCTTTGGAAACAGTTCTACTGTTTCCAACCCTTTCTTATTATGTTCAGACAATGTACCTTGTCCACTTATATCCGTTTCAATTTCAGTAAAACCAACGATAAGTGGTCGCTCGAATTTCAAGATAAAAGTGAGTTGAAAACGCTATTTTTACCGGCTACTTCTCGGCCAGGCCTTACTTAAAGGAAGGAAGCAATGCAGTGAAAGATTCCGCCCGTCTTCCGCTTTGGAAATCGTCCAGAAACGAGGAGCAGTAAATCAAAGAGGAAATATTTGTTAGGATTCGCTGGCGGCTGTGTTTCCTATTGAAAAGTCGATACTGTTATATATTTTTTCGGCAACGGAAAGGAAAATATCATAAATTTTAATAATAATGGTTATAATATCTGTAATTACGCTAGCTATGTCCCTTTCTTTTATAGGTTTAATTTAAGAGAAATCTGCAGTGGTGTTGAAAATTCTTTCTTTGCGGCAAAAGATCGTAGCTAAATGGTAAATAGTCTATATATATTTTTAAAGGATTTAGGATAAAAATTTGTATCGTGTATAGGTCATAATAAAACATCTTTATTTTACTTTGGTTTTTTAAATATTAATTGTATTATTTATGACATATCATCTTATTAGAAACAATACTACTATATAGGTAAGTATTACTTACCCACACGGGCTGTAGCCAAATGTGGTAGGGCGCTTGTGAAGATATGTATTATTGAGGAAGTCAGTTTTTCTAGTTATGCGACAGGCATTCAATATTGTGGCTTTTGTAAGAGATATGTTTTGCTAGGGTGAATATTTAATGTTTGCAGACCTATTATTACTATAATATTTAATTAAAGAATACATATATAATAGACTGGTACGTGATGATGCGGCTCGAATGCTCAGATGGTCGGTGTGGTTGTCTTCAGCAGATTACAGGGTTGTAGAAATGATAGATTTCGCTTGATAGTCTCGAATTTAATGGCAAATATACTATTTTTTACACATTTGGTGGAGTGAACAAAATGTACGTTAGATCGATCGGTTGATATTTTAAGTCTGTTACATTACGTTGCGTATTTGAATTGGATGGGTGTGCGCTCCAATCAGAACGCTCCTTTTGTGTTGCGTTTTGTTGCTGCTTGTACGCGACATAGACTCTTATTACAAAATAAATACCTATGTAGTCTACTTATTGGTGCCAATAAATAAATGGAATGATATCGAATAGCTTATCTTGTAAAATATTTATTTATGTTGATTATTCTCAAATTATATGATGTCTAGACAGTTTTCGAATAACTTTAAATTTCTTGGCACAAGTGTAGACTCCATAATGCCATGTTCCAAATTTTAGATGAGCAATCATGAAATGTATATTGAGTCTGCGAATAATTTATAAATATTAAGACAACTGCTTTATTCTGTTCTTTATTACAATTAGTTATTGAAATAATTCAACAAATTACACAGTATAGACAGACTGTAAAAATACGTTTCCATTTTGAGCTGTATTTCAAATGATTTTTTATCAAATCAAATCAAAACCTTCATTCATATAGGACATTTTAACCGCATATGAACGTGAAGTTTCAATGTATAGTTTTATACAGATCAGGGAGTGAACAGGATAAGAGGCATGGCATCTTACTCCTCTGACAACGCATAAGTGGTATCACGTGTGTCATATGATAACATGATGTCCGTAATCCTGTTCATATAGTATGTAAAACAGTGAATAAACAGTTACGGTCCTACTTAATAAACATTAATCAAATATTAACAACAGCCTCAGTGGTCCAGCGTTTTAGCACATCGCCTTACTTCCGATGGTCGCGGGTTCGATTTCTCGCGCGGCACAAATATTTGTATTTTTATGAATATGATTGTTTGTAACGGTCTGGGTATTTTCCATGTACAATGTGTATGTATTTACGAATAAAAATTTATCTATGTATTTGTATAAGTTATCTAGTACCCGTAACACAAGCTTTAGCTAGCTTAACTTGGGTCTAGATGGCGCTGTGTGAATTGTCCTCATCATCTGCTTCTACCTTATCCCATTTATTTGGGGTCGGCGTAATATGTTTTTCTCTTCCATTCGTCCCTGCATCATCATTCATCTCGTTATTTACCATATCATCTTTCACACAGTCCATCCATCTCTTTTTCGGCCTTTCTCTGCCCTTATAACCATCCACATTCATATGTGTATTATTATTATTAACTTAATTATAGAATAGAAAAGAATAGAATATATCTTTATTGCTAACTGTGTGGGTGGTATAACAATATATATAGTTATGTATCAACAGTTTCACCCTATCGGGCATGCAACAATTTACAACATATTTGATTTTAGTTTAGTAATTGAGTTTAGTTTAAAAATTATTTTGGCCTTTTTGGGATTGATTATTAAATAACTTTTAATTATTTTGTCAAGATTCCACGTAGACGAAGTTAGTATGTAGTAAGTAGTTAGCGGGAACAGCTAGTAAGAAATAAGATATTATATTAGATTATAATAACTTATTTCTTACTAGCTGTATATATAACTCAAAGGTGACTGACATAGTGATCTATCAACGCACAGCCCAAACCACTAGACGGATCGGGCTGAAAAATATATATAGCATGCAGGTATCTTTATTGCTAACTGTGATGTTATGACGTAGGCGTCCGCTAAGAAATATATATAGTTTGATTAATTCTACCCCCAAGGGGATAAAATAGGGGATGAAAGTTTGTATGAAACTTTGTCAATTTTAAATCGATCGGGCTGAGACTTTGCATGCATAAAGCTACTATGACGTAGGCATCCTCTAAGAAAGGATTTTGATAAATTCCACCCCTAAAGAGATAAACTAACGCGAGCGAAGCCGCGGGCAAAAGCTAGTTCTCATATATAATAATAGACACTAAGTATAATAATAAGCAATTGTCTAAGTTGACAACTCAAGAAATATCTGCAATACAGCGAGATAAGCTCGCCGTTTGTCGTTAAGTTTTGGCACGATTCCAACCAGTTAGGTCTTCGCTTAGCGCACAGAACCTCTACAAACGACCACCTGATCTAAGGCATGAATTGGTGGTAATTTATCAACTTTCCCACTAAGCCTGATTAATGGCCGCTGAACTTTCATTTGTAATATTAATTGTGATTAATTAATACGGACTGATATTGAAGACGAGGTATTAATCGGGTATGACGGACTTTGTCATTTTTCCGTACCGATTGTCTAGTTGACGTTTGCAACTTATTTAAGTAAGTGTTGTTTTATTTTGATAATTATTAGTAAGTACATAGAATTAACATCTATATTTTGTATAGATAAATTAAGGTTTTTTTTTTAATTTTTTCTATAATTATTTTGGAGAAAAATAATTATAAATGAGAAATATTTTTAAACACGGTTAGAAATATGCTTAATATGTTTTTATGTTTGTTACCTGAAAAAAAAATTATTTTGGCTTTTATTAATTCTAAATATTATTTTTTTGTCATTTTTAGTTTCTTTTAGGAAATAGTAATTTATCAAAATTGGTTATAATTACGATTATTTACTATAAAAATAACTTGTAAATTTATATTCCTATTCTTAAACAAAGGCATCGCTGCAAGAGAAGGAAAAGCTAAAATGTACAGCAATGCGCCTAATATAAGCTCCTTTATAACGTTAAACAGTGTCCAGAATTTTATTACGCGATGTTATATTAAAATGAGATAATCAATATATGTTCGTTGTTTATCGAAATATGATTAACGATTTCGTGATTTATCTCTTTTTAGAATATCGTGTCCATGCTACTAAAATTTACTTTATCACATAGTTCTGGAAGAGATCGCTATTTAGCGACAAAACCGTATATTTTTACCATTGCTTTCTTATAGTAATAATATATGTTTTACTATTTATACATACTAATTTATGTAACTGTTTTTTCTAGAGTTTTCATATCTTTCATTACGTCATTTGGGCGACATTATGATAAAAAAATTTGAACATACGAGAAGCTGCAACTTCAAATAAAAAAAAAGTAAACAACAATACCTGCACTAAGCTCAATACTTGTGTTGCAGGAATTAGATATCTTTGAGTACAGAAACTTTGACTTAATACAGACTCGAGTTCAACTAGATACAATAGTAATATAGGTCAAATTAGAACTCTCTTCTAAGTTATGACACAAATGAAAAAATGAACTTATTATTCTTTATTTTGAAGCCGGTTGAAAAATAATATTTTATCTACTACTACTATAGTTAATAACTTAAATTCAGTATTATTTAACAACAGAATCAATTATTACCGGGAGGAAGTTATAAAATTTAAATTCAGTGAAATTAAAACATTAATTTGCTCAGGGTTTATTCTTATACTGTGTCAAACATTG